TTAACCTACTATTAATCTCACAACCCAAATGTTGTATTAGTTGTAATTGTTATTAAGGATTAAGGGTTCCCCTTAGGATATTACTAACACCTGCTTAAATTACTAATAATCTAACTCATTATTTAAATTAATTAGAATATAATAATATATAAATTATGATAATTAATTCCATAATATTGAATATATAATTTTATATTTTTAAAACACATTATCAAAGAAAGTCTTTGATCTATTCGATAATATTATACTTTGAATTTATTATCCCTTAAGTATACTAAGTAAGTACAATATTCTTTTTTCTGCACACTGAAAAAAAATGCTCTTGTTTCTTCTTTTTCAATTTAGTTTTGATTATATTTGGCATTTAAACTGTATAAATAAATAAATAAACATATAGATACTTAAAAATAAAATTACACCGATATATACTTAGAAGTGCTTTTGACCATAAAAACTTAACAACTTTAAAATGTCTGAAGATTAAAGAAACAAAGTTGTAATAAATGTTATATATAAATATAAATGATTATACAAATATATATACTATGTATATATATATACTATATTTGTATATATAATTGAACTTTACTGTGTTCAATTTATGTCCGAAGAGATTATTTCAAAAGAAAAATAAAAATAAAATTCGGTGAGAAGATGTAGAAATAAAAGCACCGGAGATGATAAGTAAAAATGAGATTTATGTTTAAAATTTTTATTATCAATTATTTGAATTTATTGAAGCATTATGATGTCATTACTTGTAACTTTGCAATTATTCAATAAGTCAATGTGTCATGTCCAATCACACCCACTTGTTTGTATAAAAATTAATATTAACTTTCTGTAAGTTTAATGCTACAGTCAAGGGATGAAGCGTGGGATATAGAAGAGAAGTATTGTATATAATTTACTTTGATGATGAGTAGAATTCCTTGTTAACACACAGACTGCAGTACATATATATATATATACCGTTCGGTATGTACATACGCCACGTTATGTATGAAACTGTACTCTCCATAACTAAATCTGTAGTCATTCATGACTGCAGTCAATTTTATAAAAAACACAGCCAAGCCAGTCTTATAATTAACATTTACAGCATTTGCGTTGTATAATAAGTGATGGTAAATATTTTTACTCTATCAGAGGACTTATAGAACCATGTACTGCTTCTCTACATTGCGCATTAATTTTTCTCACGTCATTTTCAACATCCCCTTTCCATCTACTTTTTCTGCTTATTAATGAAATCTGTGCAGGCGATGAGCTTTAAATTATCTTAATATATTTTTGGATACATTTCGGATACAGTTCTTATTAATTATTAATCATATCATATACAGATTTTTTTCTGTTGGTATTGGACATATATTTTCTTTTATTTTCACATTTTTAAATTGCATGTATTTGCTTATCTATGATATTAACAATTTGTTGTGACCAGTCGTTTGACATCAGTATCTAAAACCATGAAGAAATTAAGTATATCCATAATTTTGTTTTCATATATTTTAATATTTAATATTTTATGATTTATTCATATGATTCTGGGATGATAATGAGCCATAGACTCATATACTACATTTAGACATTAAAATAGAATCCATGAAAAAGTAGTACTTTTAAAAGAAGTGACTATTATATTTAATAGAAACTAGTGTATTTCAAACAGTGTTTCTAGTTTCTATTGAATATAATAGTCGCTTCCATCTGAAAAATTTGACATCAAATTATAACTTATATTCACAAAAATTGGTCTCGCCCGTGCCACTTGTGGAGTAACATTAGCATGACTTTCTCAGCATTACGTTCCTAGATTAGGTTCTACACATAAGAAAGAATTATATTGAAATTTAACAATTAAAAATGAAAATATAATTAATTAACTTTATTATTCTACAGCTATTTATGATTTCGTTCTAATATAATCTAATAATATACAGCAAGTGAATTTGTTAATAAAACTTTCACAGCAAAAACATAAAACTCCACAAAAATGTGCGAACATAAAAATTAAGTACGGCTTTGGGTCAGTAAGGTGCGCTGACTATGAGAACAAATTTGGCAGGGCACGAGTTCGTTTTCTGGTATTTGCTGTCTCAAAAAATTATTTACGAATAATTAAATACAAGAAATATTTCCAAGATCACT